ATACTACCATCTCATCTTATGTACCTTGCAAAATCTTTTTTTTTTTTAAAAAATTATACTTTATCCATTATCCAAAAAAAGCTTCTTTTTTTCATTTAATTTCAAGACATTGTAGCTTTTCTCCACCTTTTCCCTTTCTTTCTTCTCCCAACAAACCTTTCTACCCCCCCTTCTTCTAGCCTCTGCCTTGCCAGCTTCCCTTCTCTGTCGTATTCCTTTTCCCTTTTGTTTACTATCATCATATTGGTTTTGCACCTTATTTTTCCCTTTCTTAAATGTTTTTTTAGATCTTAAGTCCTTAAGTCCTTTAATTTTCTTCTTTTCTCTTCTTTTCTTTTCTTTCTCTCTTCCTTCTTTCTGGATCAAGTTCTGAGATTCATTAAAGATGGCTCCTTTCTTTCTTTCTTGTTCCTCTGCTGTCTTCATCTGTTGTAATGTTTGTTGATAATTAATAAGCGCCATTTCTAAGAAAAGGAAAGCTTCTTCCACACCATCTTTACCATTTTTTTTTGCTTGTTCATATTCTTTTCTTAGTTCCTCAACAGAAAGAGCCATTATAAATCTTTTCTTTTCTTTTCCCCTTCTTTCTTCTTACAACAACCAGAATATTCAAAAGAAAATAAAAAAAAATAAAACAGTCCCAAAGTTATCAGTCAGTCCAAACCAAGGCAGAATTCTCACTTTCTCCTTCTGGGGCAATATCAATCCAAGAGAAAGAAAGACAGACAGATAGATAGATAGATAGATAGATGATAGAGAGATAGATAGGCATAGATAGATAGATAGATAGATAGAGAGAGGGAGATAAAGAGATAGATAGATAGGAACTTCCGGTTTGTCGGCTTCGCGAGCGGCAGGGATTTGCGAAGCTGCGCGATACCTGCCGCGCTAGCCGTTTTTGGGGCTCCGACCCAGCCGGGTACGGAGCTAGGCTGCCCTGCAGGGGCAGCTGAAGGTAGGGGGATCCGGAGAAGGGTTTGGGGGTGCTGCAGACTCCCTCCCTGGCCGGCAGAACTCCCTTTTCCCAGGACGGTGCAGCGGCGGTCTGTAATGGCCGCCACAAAGAAGCTGGCAGCCGGGTAAGAATGCGCAGGAGGAAGTGGAGAAAGTGCTTGAAAGGAGAAAGTTTTTCTTGGCTCCTAGGACTCTAAGACATATCTAATAAAATTCCTGAAAAGTATGACTTTCTGAATAATACCTGCCAGAAGAGGAAAAAAGCGGCTGTGAAGGTGCTGAAAGGATAGCTTTCCCTCTTTTCCTACGGAATAAATAACTGGATATTAAGAAACCTATTTCTTTTAGGTGAAAATTGGTTTTAAGCGATGAGTGGGAAGAGAGAGGATTAAAAAGAAAACATTTGTATGCTAAGATTTGTTGGAGCAGATGCCTTAAGGATTTGAAGACTAGAATATATTGCAATAAGATTTTAAACAGATTTGGACTTTCTTTCTCTAGGCCAGCTCTGTTCTTAATGTTTACTCAGCTTAGGAAACACTATGTGAACTTAATTATAGTGTGATGTGAAGAAGGAATCCTGAATAAATCCCAGGGGCTGCATGCACACACACACACACACGTGTTCCTTCCCCTGTACCAATAATGCATGGCACAGGAGCCGAACTAGCAAACTCTGCTAACAAACCAGGTTTGGCGCACGCCACACTTTTGCAGACTCACGAATCCCGGACGGATGCCAGGTCTATCCTGAAGTCATCGCTGTGCCCACTGGGCAGCTCATTTGCCTGGCACACCCACCCACAGGAAACGCTTTATAAAAATGGAGCCCTTCAATGGACTCGTCGTTCCGGATTTTGGGCCTGAACAAGGGAGTTTAGCTGGTTGGAGGAATCCTGGGAGTCTTCAAATCACATAGGTTGAGAAATTGGCTGTCAGGATTCCGGCAGTTGCCCTCATGGCATCGTGAGCCTCGAGCCAAGCTTTTCAAAAACTTCAAACAATTTATTAGGAGCGAACATGTCAGCATGACCTGCATGAAACCGATTCTGAGACACATAATATACTGTCACCTCTGACCCGATTTTCCTTCCACCCATCTGGGTGTATCATCATTCATATTCTCCAACTGAAACACATTCATAGCTGAGCGTCAACAATCACATTCTCCAACTAGGGATTCATATTCTCCAACCAAAACACCTTCATAGCTGAGAGTCAACAATCACATTCTCCAACTAGGGATTCATATTCTCCAACTGAAACACGTTCATAGCTGAGAGTTAGCAATCACATTCTCCAACTAGGGATTTTCACCCGGCAGAAATTCCGGTTGCTTAGTTACAATCTTTTGCAAGAGAAGAATGGAATGCGCCTTTGGTTTTTAAACTGCCACACTTCTCCTTCAATTTTCTCCCTCCTCCCCCCTGTTCATGGCAACTCGTTTTAGGAGTTGCCATTGGCATTTTTATGGCGAGGAAGGAAGAACTGGGAATATGGGATTAAAAATTCCTTTTGTTTTTTTCCCTCCAGATTTACATAACCTGCTGTCTGAAAGTCACCCCCGGAAACCAGCCACCTGATGTTTTGAACAAAGCTTGTTCCTTCAATGCAGCCAGCCGTTCGTGAGTTCTCCCGTCCTCCCCTTACTATGACCGCAATGGAGCCGGACGTTTCCATCACTATGTCAACTCATCAAACATTCCTAGGCCTGTTTTAGTAGTTGCCAAAAAATTTTTAAAAAGGGGGGGGGGGAGGAAGGAAATTTGGAAGAGCAGGGCAGCTGTTTGAAACCGAAAGTACTTTCCAACTGTTTATCTTTCAAAGATTGTAGCTCAAATACTGGAGCTTTTGCCCGAAAGTACCTTCCAACTCTTTACCTTTCAAAGATTCTAGCTCAACTACTGGAGCTTTTGCCCGAAAGTACCTTCCAACTCTTTATCTTTAAAAGATTGTAGCTCAACTACCGGAGCTTTTGCCCTGGGAATATATTTAATTGGAGAATGTGATTGATGACACCCAGCCTGTGAACGAGTTCAGTTGGAGAATCTGATTTATGACACACCCAGTGGGGAATGGGGGAAACAGGGTCCCAGGGGACAGTAAATGACGTAGACCAGAGTTGGCTTCATATAGGGCAGTGCCAGCATGTTGCCTCTAATAAATCCTTGGAAGTTTTTTGAAGTTTGGCTTGAGGATCCTGACTTCATTAGGGTGATTGCTGGAATCCTGACACACCAAGCGGGACAGTTCTCAACTGAATTCTGCCCCATATTACACAGTTGTGAAGCGAATGGGTGCAGCTCTTAAGTTAGGAAGATGGGTTCTTAAGCACACCGGCCTTTCCTCCGTTGCTTGCCGGAAGGTCGCAAAGGGGGAATCTCATGACACCCCCCCAGGGAGGTGGCAACCGTCATCAACACGAATTCACCAGTGCCTAATTTTGCCAAGTGTCGAATTTTGCCAAGTGGCAAGTCTCGGGTTTGGATTGTGTCACCATGGGGATGCGGTCATAAGTGTGAAAAACGGCCATAAGTCTCTCTCTCTCTTTTCTTTGGTGTAACTTTGAACAGCCGCTAAATGAACTCTGGGACTACCCATATTAGCCCAGTGCCAGGATTCTGGCCGTTGCCCCGCAATTAAATCATGAGTCTCAGAGCCAAACTTGAAAAACTTCCAAAAAGCATTTATTGGGAGTGAACATGTCGGCACTGTCTAGGTGCAGCCGACTCTGAGGAACAGAACTCATTGTCACCCTGGTTTTCCCCCCACCCCCTGGGTGTGTCATAAATCATATTCTCCAACAAGACACCATAGCCCAGAAGCATCCATCATGCTCTCTAGTTAGATATTTGCCTGGCAGAAACTTCAGGCACCTACTTACTATCTCTGAAAAACCATTGATGGAATGTGCTTTCGGTTTCCAAGCTGCCGCACTGCTCCCTGCTCCCTTTCTGTTGGCAACTCTACAAAGATCAGAGAACTATTTTATGAGTTTACATTCGGCTCCCCTCACTTCCCGACGACAGCCATTCCGACTGGGGAAACTCTGGGATCCCAGTTCAGGGGGGGGTCTGCTCTGCCTCCCTCCTCTTTCTAGCACATGTGTAAGGGCATTGTGGGAGTTCTAGCATGGCACCTGTAGAGAGGAGTGGGTTGGAGAGGGAGATGGGAGACCCCTAGGAAATTTAGGCCCCAGCCTTGCGAGGTCTGTAGCTCTTCCCCTATTTCTCCAAAATATCCATTAATAATCTCCTTGGGGGAAATTGAGGCTGGGTCTTCTACTACAGCAGGGAGGGGGTCTCCAACCTTGGCCACTTTACGACTTGTGGATTTCAACTCCCAGAATTCCTCAGCCAGTTTTACACTGGTGGCCTGGCTGGCTGAGGAATTCTGGGAGTCGAAGTCCAGATATCTTCAAGCCTAACTGGCTGAGGAATTCTGGGAGTTGAAGTCCAGATATCTTCAAGCCTAACTGGCTGAGGAATTCTGGGAGTCGTAGTCCACAAATCATAAAGTTGCCAAGGTTGGAGACCCCTGTTCCACAGCCAGCTTTTTTCCCCTGGCAGGTGGGTCCCTGTGGAAGGACCGAGCGCCATCTGCGGCTGTTGTGAGACCCGGAGCCAGCAAAGCTAAACTGAGGAATTCTGGGTGTTGAAGTCCACACATCTTAAAAGTGGCCATGGTTGGAGGCCATTCTGATTTACAGGGTCTGCATTTGGGTGGCCCAAATCCAGGCAAGCTTTAGAATACTGTTTTCCAACCTGCTTGGGAGGGGGGGTTGGACTAGATGACCTCCGAGGTCCCTCCCCACTGTATTATTCTGTTCATTAAAACACGGGATGGCTTGCCTCCGGAAGTTATGCTCCATCACTGGAGCTTTTCAGAGAGAGAGAGAGAGAGAGATAGAGATAGAGATAGAGAGATAGATAGATAGATAGATAGATAGATAGATAGATAGAGAGGAGCCTTTGTCTGAAATGGCGTAGTATTAATTGACAGGACGTTGCAATGTATGATTTTATGTACTATACTTAGATCTGACCGAAGGTGGCATAGTTCCAGGTTTTCTAGGTCTAGAATTTCGAGTCTGGTGGCATAAGGTATTCTGCAATGAGTAGAGGAGTGGAGAACTCTTGTGAAATATTTCTGGACTTTCTCAACTGTGCTAATATCAGATACATAATGTGGGTTCCAGACTGATGAGCTGTATTCGAGTATTGGTCTAGCAAATGTTTTGTATGCTCTAGTTAGTAGTGCTATATTACCAGAGAAAAAACTACGCAGGATTAGGTTAACAACTCTTAATGCCTTTTTGGCTCTGTGGTTACGGTGGGCTCTAGCACTTAGATCATTAGAGATGAGTACTCCAAGGTCCTTGACAAAGTTTGGATCATCAACAAGGTCTTGACTATTCAGCTTGTATTTTGTTTTCTGATTTATTTATTTTTTTTGCCAATATGTAAGAAAACCATTTCTTACAGATTGTAAGAATATGTAAAAAAATATGAATATGTAAAAAAAAACCATTTGCTGGTTCTCCCCCTGTCCTTGTACGAAGCCCCCTCCTCCTCTTCCTCCTCTAAGGAAGCCAGAATGGGTTGGGTTCCCCAGGATCCAAATTGGAGCTTGCTTAAGCCAGATCAAACCCAACCTGGGGATGTGAGGTTAAAGGAAGAAGGGTTGCAGGAACTGGGTGTGTCTTAATGTAATGAAAAGAAGGACTAGGAGGGGGAGGGGACAGGACAGCGGGTCTTCCAGTATTTGAGGGGTTGCCATAAAAATGAGGGGGGTCCCCCTGTTTTCCAAAGCACCAGAAGGAGCAACAGATGCAAACTAACCCAGCATAAAAGCAACCTAGAACTAAAGAGATTTCCTGACAGTGAGAACAATTAGCCAGTGGGACTGCTTGCCACCAGAAGGTGTAGGGGCTCCAACACTGGAGGTTTTTAAAGAAAAGACTGTCTGAAATGGTGATAGGGTCTCCTGCTTGAGGAGGAGGGGGGTTGGGCTAGATGACCTCTAAGGCCTCACCCGATCCCATTCTATGGTTCCGTTAATTAATCGGTGGAACGGCTTGCCGCCATGTTGCGTTGAGCGACCGGTCTGTTGTTTAGATCTTCAGGTTGATTGCTGAATTCCTCTCAGAAAGGGACCCTCGCAAGGGTGAGATAGAGAGAAGCCCTCGCAAGGGCGAAGTTTGGCAAGCAGCGTAACCCTAGCCAGGGTGATTGAGGGACTCTCGCAAGAGTGATTGCAAAGCTAAAAGAAAAAAGAACACAAGACGAAGATTTCTTTAGGTGAGACAGCGCATTGCTTGAGGCAGATGGGATTGCCTCATTTGAGCCTAAGACAGATGGAATGTTTAGGCTGGCTAGCTTGCTCTACGCTGTGCTCTTTTATTATGCTGAAAAGAGGGGGGTGAGGGGGGTTTACAGAAAGACAAAGAAGTTACAAAGTTTATCTTTTAGACCAGGCTACAAGTGATACAAATAACGAACTTATTGATTAATAGTTTTCCGGTAAACATGTCTTTACAGAATACACATCTTATCTGACAGACTTTTGAATATACATCCTTTCACAGGCTTTTGTGAAATATGTCTTTACTTTATCTGACACAGACCTCTGTGTTAATCTTATCAATTTAGCTTCTTCCTGTCAGTTATTTTCCTGTCAGTTTAGTGAACTTTGCTCTGAGAGGTATACGTGCTGAGCAAGATTTTTCTTATAGAAAAATATTGAGACAGAATCGCCACA